GAGGGGATTGTAGTGGATCCAGCCAAGGTGGAGGCTATGATTCAGTGGGAATGTCCGAGGACTGCTATGAGGATTAGGAGTTTTGTTGGGTTAGCGGGTTACTATCAAAGGTTCATAGAGGGTTTTTCCCGAATAGTATTGCCTTTGACTCAACTGACTCGAAAAGATCAGCCTGTTGTTTGGACGGATGCTTATGAGCAGAGTTTTCAGGAGTTCAAGAGATGGTTGACTACTTCTCCGGTTTTGGTGTTGCCTGACACTAGTGAGCATTTTGATGTGTTCTGTGACGCTTCTTACCAGGGGTTAGGTTGTCTGTTGATGCAGGGAGGGAGAGTAGTGGCATATGCTTCGAGGCAACTTAAGACCTATGAGAAGAACTATCTCACTCATGATTTGGAGCTTGCAGCTATGGTGTTTGTCTTGAAGTCGGAAATAACTTTCCATGCAGCCCTGCTTTGGTCAAAAAGCCAAGAAAGTATTATAAGAAGTTAAAAACACGTAAGGTATTAGGTTACCAACCCAATACAAGACCAAACGGTCAATTAATAAAGCATAATTTTAAAAGAAGGAAAATATTATGCAATCATAATATAAAACGATGAAAAAATATTCGCTTTAATTTCTTAGCATATTTTTTAATTTCGGGTATAAATAAAAATGAAAATAATTATAAATAATATGACATAAATATTAACTTATATGTTTAAATAATATTTTACTATATAGAAAATATTCGAAAAGTAAAAAGTACAAAGGTATTAGGTTAATTACTAACGCAACATATGTTTTTTTTATTTTAATTTGAAGTCTTTTTTAATGTTTTGAAAATGAAATTATTTTAATTTTTAATTTACTAACTTAGAAACAGTTTTTCTTAAAGTTTTCGACTTTTCTTTATATATATATATATATATATATATATATATATTTTATTTTTTTTCGTCTTTGATTTTGTGTCATGTTTTAACTCAAGTAAAATGACTTGAAAACATATATATCAACAAACTATAATGACATGACATACGATATTTGAAAAAATGTAGATGTAGCGAATAAAGATAGTCATTTTTATGCTTGTTCTATAATTGATACTATAACCAATAGTATGTATTTGTTATGGAAATAATTGATATAAAGATGTCACTTTTTTTACATCAGTTAATGCAATAATTGAGTAAAGAAAATCATACAAGAATGATAGTTAAATTAGACTTTTTTATCGGAGTAAGTTTAAAAATAAAAATAAAAACTTCTCATGATGTACATAAATTTAATTTTAAAGTTACAAGGTTTAAGGTTAAAGAAATATTTCCATTAACTTAATGAGGTGGATGAATTTGGATAATAATACTTCATGATCAAACTGCGAATACAATACTCTTCAAGTATATTGATATCCTTGTTCGTATGTCATAATTGTTGGTGCTTATGTACATGTCAATTCGTATAATTATGTTGATCTAATTTATTCAAATCAATATATAATACAGATGTATTTGAGACAATTGTATTTAATCGATAATGATGTCAATATATGACCTAGTCATGAATCTCATATTATTCTTGATTAGTCAAAGTTGCGTGAGGATATCTAAATTCTACTTGTATATGCAATAAAATAAATTGGACATAATCATGATGTAAGCAACATTGTGAACATTGTAGAGTTAAATAACATAATCAAACAAATTATGCTCGACTAATTAAAGAATTTAATGTAAATTATAACAATAATTAAAGTTAAGTATCCTTTTATTTATGTAATATTATTTAATCAATGTTATATGTCTTTAAGATAATTTAGCTTGTTAATATAAAATGTATTATTTTTTGGTACATTATGATCTTCAATGTATGATAAAATTAAAGCACAAATCATTCATTTCACCACATGTGAACAAAATACAATCCTAAAAATAATGATTACTTTTAGTTTGTGTTTTAATATAATGAAAAACATAAGACCACATGTTTGTATTGAATATCATGTTTGCTATTCAATCAATATCCGCCAAAACTTGTTGGATTGGTAAAAATTATTCGGAGCATCCATTTTTCATTGGAAATTGTAGCTATGTAATTGTAGCTATGTAATTGAGTAATTGAGTAGGAGAGAATTTGGATATAATTCTAATATTGGGACAGTGTTAGACTTTAAACATATTGTGGCCCAACATCGCATCATCATCAAGCTCCATAGCTTTTTGCAATCCATGGATCACATACTTACATGTTAATCTATTTGGAAGCTGTATCAACTCAGCCAGATTACCAACCTCACAAAAGACCTTAAAAACTGCATTGTAGCTTTCAGTATCGTAAACTTAAAAATTCATTGGCAAAGAAATTCAATAATGACACAACTTTAAAACTTAAATATTCAATGTTGGGAACAAGGTATACATGCCTTACATTGTCATAAGTCATCATGTTTTTAACTACATGATTTTTAGTAATCTAGTAGTAAAAAGTGAAAATCGAAAAGTAGTATTTAATAATTAAGATATCAAAAATGTTTAATTAACAATGATCCAAGATGACATCAATTTTTTTTTCTTTTCCTCACTTAACTAGCTAACGCACTTCTTTTCTCACAAGGAAACACTTTTTCGGATCATATTGATTCAGAGTACAAATTACTGCACTACTGAAATTCTATTCCCTTTTTCTTCCATTCAACACAATTAATAGCCATTTTATATCATTGCAATCAGAACACTACAAACCAAAGTTGTTGCAAACCAAAGTTTAAATTATCAAAAACAACAAATCAAATGCCACTTCAGAACAATGACTTAAAGACAAATCCATACAACTGGAAATTAAATTACCAAATAGATGAACACAAAAAATACTATATTAGAAACCAAATAAAATATAGAGAACCCTAGGTATGAAATATAAAGACAAACTTGAGATAAAAAAATATAGGGACAAATCTAAGTTAAACTAAAAATAAAATGCACATAAAAAAACCTCTAGGTATGAAAGAAATAAAAAATGTATAAACAAATTAGAAAGAAACAAACCATGAATCAAGCAAGCAAAATGAGAAGAGTTAAATCACCTATACACTGTCAGTGTAAAGTTTTTTTACACTGACAACCAATTATATCTTTTAATTGTGTCATGTCACTGTTAAAAGTAAATGTGTTTATAGTGACATGGCACAATTAAAAGATATAATTGATTGTCAGTATAAAAAAACATTACACTGATAATGTACAGATGATTAACTCAAATGAGAAAGCTCAAACGAGAGAGGGAGATCAAAGAGAAAAAGAGAAACTCCAGAGAGATGGAGAAAAAGAGGGGCACGAGCAATGCAAAGGCAATAAGAATAAAAAGAGGACGAGCAAGGGTGAGTAAAGAGCGGGTAGAGAGCGATGCGAGGAATTTTGAAATTCTCTCATTTTAGGTAGAATTTGAAATCCCCTATTTTTAGTTAATTAAAATTAAAATTAAAATTTGAAATCCTGAATTTTTAAATTCCTTTTAAATAAAATATCTAAACAGAAAATTTTATAACAATAATTTTGAAATCCCCTCTTAAATTATATTTTTCATTTAAAATCCATTATCTAAACACACTACAAGTGACCACTATGGTTAGCCTAGTGGTTGGGTGGGGAGGGGTTGGGGTAGTTAGAAGCATGAGGACTTAGGTTCAATCCTCATTGCGACTATCTTTGTAATCTTTCCTATCTTTACCAAAAAAACACACTACAAGTGAATTGTATACTAATATAACATTAATTTACTTGTCAGTATTAAAAAATCACATTTATTTTTATTTTGTATAAAAAAAATACATGAAAAATTATTTTACGATAAAAAAATAATAAAAAAACATTGGACACTGGTCAATGTTAATGGTTTATAATTAAATATAAGTATATAAATACATATAATATTTGTGACATTAAGACATAAGTTAATTCGATGTAGTTGTTGGATGTGCACCTTAATTATGTTTTGGACTTGGACATCTCAATAGGTAAGTCTCAAAATTGGAAGAAAAAAAATGATTCATCTTGATCGATTTTTATCAAGATTATATTGGTTTTAGTCAGTTTAATGATGTTATCATCGTTTGGATGTATAATCGATTGAATTAATGATTCAAATCAATTACTTAACTAAATTCTAGTTGGATTGGTTCGACTAATCAGTTCGAACTAGATTTTAAAATTATAAATCAAACAAAGAATAAAGTGAGGCACAATGAAAATCCAAATCCAAACCAAGGAGACTAAAGTTATGTTTGAACATTTTGCTTTCTATAAAATAAGGATGTTAATGAGCTAGGTGTGAATTTCAATATTTTCATTTCCGTCTCTAAGTTAGTACTCTATACTCATTTTTGTCCTCATACTTGACGGATATGAAATTTATATTTCATCCTCATACCTTTCGGATTTTGGATACTTGTACTCGTCCAAAAATTAATAAAAATTATTTTTGTAAAAAGAATATAAAAAAATAAAAATTCTAACATAGAGTAGTAATTACAAAATTATATTAATTAATTTTCATTTAATATTAATTTAAAATAAAGTAAGAATTATATAAATCTCAAATAAATTCTAAAATATGTAAATTAAGGTTTTAGAAATTTAAAGCTATGACGGATATGAGTAAGCATATGGGACGAGTAAGTATGCACCCATCCCATACCCATATTCAATATAAGAAATCGGGTAGTACTCATATCCATAATTATACTTGATCAAACTAAATATTCTTTATCAAAGTCGAAATGAGTTCAAACATTATCCTACAAGTACATGTTTATTTGTCATCCCTCTATAAAATAAGTTCAATGGAAAAGTGATAAAGAATTAACTTACATGAATGCATGTTCAACCCTTCACCGGTAACCCAAACATGCACTAGATTGCCTAAGGACTCAAACACTCATGAGAATTAACATTAACACAATAAAGAATCCAAAAACAAAAATAAGAGAGGAGATAAAACAAGACAAAACAGAATAATAATAGAAAGAAGAAGAATAAAGAACACATTCCACTATTAAGAAAAAAAAAACGTAGAGAAAACATTAATTCTACAAAAAGTATAATCACTCCAAAAATTTACAGAAAACTAGAACACAAGCTCGTAAAAATTTCGAAGAACAAAATTTTGGCTCTCAAAATATACAACCCCACCAAACTACAATGCGGAAACTAGTTGTAGTTAGTTTTTACCCTCTTGACTGTGTGGCCTATACCAAGTGAAATTATAGAAGCCAATTTAAGTTGAAATCAACTTGAGTCACATCTAGCTTTATATCACCACGCATGGTTCTGAAAGGTTCCCATAATGCAGTCGTCATTTCATCACATACCACAACCCTTAAGCCCCCAAGCTCAGTGACTGAGTATGGCAATTCATTCAATCTCGTGCAACCTATGTAATTGAGCCTTTCTAAACTACTCAACTCCCCCATGTTCTCGGGTAACTTAACAAGGCTTACGCAGTCAGAGATGTCAAGAAATTTCAGTTTTTGAAGGCCTGTGATTGAGTCTGGCAACTCTTCTAAACTAGTACATGAAGTAAGCCTTAGTGATTCCAAATTCACCAACTTCCCGATTCCCTCAGGAAGTGCAGAAAGCTTGTGGCAGTTTGTGATGCTGAGCCTCTTTAAGGAAACAATATCAGAGAGCCCATTTGGCAATTGCAGCATATCACAGTAGTCAATGTTCATCTCCTCCAAATTTGGCAGTACATCGGAAATTTTGATGGTGCTATTTTTGAATGCTTCATTCATATTGCACATAAAGAAAGAAAATTTCTGAAGATTCTTCAATTGCACTCCAGTCTTGCTAAGGAAAGGAATTGAAACCTTCTCTAACCTGATTCGTTTGAGATCAGATAGATAATCAAGCAGCTCGAAATTCTCCAATTCAGCACGATAGAAGTCATAATTCGTTATTATCAGGACTTTTAGTTTATTCATTTTCTTCATGAACATTGGTAGTGTGTGCTTCTTTTCTCGAAGGTTTAGCACGAGAACCTCAACCTCAGTTGGCTGCAAGTTGCACCACTCTGAAGTGAATGCTTCATCTGCAAAAATAGATTCAACAATTAATGAGAGACTCTCTCAAGTCTCAATATGTGTCGCTCTGCATCAAGACAGAAATATGAACATACCTGTTGATATGGAAAGTGTGCTGGCTGCAATGTGATACTCATTCTGTGAAGTCCACCATTCGGGAAGATTGTTACCACTTAGGTCAATAATTAGTCTATTCCTCTTTTCCGTTGGCTCCTGGCTTGTTTGGAGAATAGCCAGGTCCCGAAGAAGACCATGCTGTGTAACATAGTGGTAATTATAGTCAATTGTGTCACTCGCAGTATTCCTGATCCATGAAAAGAAATTACTTGCTCATAAGTTAATGGATAAAAAAAAAAGTACAAACAATATTATTCTCTCATCTATGAAAAATAAATTGTAACAATTCCTGGTGTGCAAGTGTGAATGAGAGTTTTACATTAGATAAAGTTGGATATGTTGAATAAAATATAAGTGAGAAAGACTATAGTATGATATCTTCAGGTTTTTTGAGTTAAAATAAGTTCACTTGTGTAGTTGACTTTTTCCAAGTGTTTAACCCCCTATCGTGTTCTCAACAATAACCCTTGAATTATCTTAACTTTTGTCATAAATGTTTTTAAAGGTTATGTTAAGTGTGATTTATAATTAGTTTAGTGCACCAAATTATACTCATACGTAGCATATATGTCTAATATTTGAAGAACCGTTGGCCATACCTTGTGACAACAATATCAGCCATGTTCCGGTTGACAAGTTCATAGATCTTCTCCATTGCACTGCCATCATCTTCTTCACGCAGTTCTGCCCATATATCAACAAGGGCAGCAGCAGGGATCCTCTGGGCTTCAGGAAATAAGCTTAGGTCCCTAAAACACTCAGCCACCTTAGGATCCAAGTCTTCGAAGCTCTTTTGGAGACAAGTAAGCACATCGTCACTAGAAACAATTATTGAATGACCCGTGGACAATGCCTGAGCCCTGTTGTGCCAAAACAACGCTTGTTTATGACTTAGTGATCTGCCATTTACTCTAAGTGCCAAGGGAGAACCACTGCACCCTCTCACAATCTGCAATTTTTGTTGTTGGTAAGTGTTTAAAAGAAATGAGAAATTGCACCTTAAAGATTTATCATTTATTTACCACAACTTTTTTCTTTTATTATAAAGCAGAACTAAATAAATAGAACTAGAAAGTCAGGCTGTCTATGTTTCGAAATTATCATTACTGGAAGGTGACAGCATCAACAAGTCCTAAGACTAGATTTTGTGATTATAATTTTCTTAGACACAAAAGGAAAGGGAAAAGAAGCCAAAACTTCCTCTCATGTATAACTTTTACATGGCACACAAAAATTGTATGTTTACTTTTCTCTTTATATGTATTTATTAAGAATAAGAATCATTTCAAAATCTTCCTGTAATATTTTCTTCATAAATTTTCTCACTTATTCAATAAAAAAAGTGTTGGTTTTTCTTTAAATATTAAGACATTCAATATATTTGTTTTTTATTTAACATTTTTAGAGTAATAAAATCATAAACAACAAGAGTTTTATATATAAATGTAATATTACTCATTTATTAAAATGGTTTGTTTAATATCAATAGTGCCTATTTTCATTAACTAAAAATAAAAAAATATATTAAAAAATATTTATTTCCGTTTTAATAGATTTTTAATGTTGTAAATATTTCCTTTTCCAATTAAAATCTTGTCCATGCTCACACAAATTTAGCTTTTTTACTCCACATATATCCTTTATGATAAATAATCTTGCTTGAACTAGGTAAAAGTATTGTAGACTCGACTTGAAATCGATAGTTAACTTAGAATAAACCAGTGACGGTTGATTCATGCAGTCAGTGATATGTATTTAAGTAGTGTATCATCAAAATCTGTGAAAACTTATTGATGTTAAAGAGAATGACCTATGAGCACAGCGCATACTAGTCTTTGGCCATCAATTTTGTAACACTCCATAGAACATGTTGATAAAAAAAAAAAATTCAAAATTTTCGTTGCCCAATATCAATATCTATCACGTGAAACTTAATCCGTGCTGCCTTCATGCGAGATTTTACACAACACATTTAAACATTAAAACTAGCTACATAGATTTTTGTAATATAATTGGACAATAAAAATTACCTTTTTGACAACATCATCTGGAATGTCAGATCTGCTCTCATCCAGAGATGCTGAGTGACGAAGTAATTTTATAGCATTGGTTTCATCAAGGGGTTTCAAGACATATGGTGGGCCAAATTCTCCAATTGCGAATCTAGATGTAACTAAAATGGTGTAATTTGGTATCTGGAACACAAATTTGTCAACAAGAGACACTGACTTGGGCCAAACATCATCGAGGACCAACAGTATTGGGCTTTTCTCAACAATCTTTTTCAGCAAATGTTCCAATTGGTAAATCATGTCATCGTCACTTTGGAACTCTGGCGTTTGGTAACCAGTGTGTTGAAACAGTCTCTGCACTATGGTATTCAACTTGGGCGACTTGGCAAAGGTGATGAAGAATATGTTTTCCTTGAATTTACCTAACCAAAGCTTAACATGTTTAGATGTCTGCAACTGCAAGCTTATTATGGTACAAGCAGAAATAACGAAAAAAGAAGTTAAAAGAAAAGAATGTACATATATCCACGACTAGAAGTCATTCTAAAGTTCCTATTCCTCATTCATGTTTACTAAACAATGAAAAGATGCCCTTCATCACAAATATGACCCAAGCTTAATGTTTTGGATATAAACAAACACGTATTATATCAAGTTGCAACCTATAAACTGTGACTTCTACCCAGCTAGATTCACATAACTCAGTTTAAGAATCGCACTACTAAAACTTTAACTTAACGTCCATTGACAAAATATTATTTATTACTAACATATATAAAATAAAAAATTACATATGTAAAATTGGTAAAAATACTTAATACATAATTTTCTCATTAAAGTAAAAAAAATTCCAATTTTTTTTTATCCCACTCATTCTAATATAAAATTTTGCACATATTATTTTAACTCTCCTAGTTACCAAATGTTTAGTCAACTTTAATTCGTGATTTAAAAAAACATATGTCCCAACATAAATAAAAAAAAATCATCTAACCAGGCTATAAAATCATTAGAAACAAACAAAACCTCCTCAACAGTACCTTTGACATCCTGGTCCCAACAAAATTTCTTGGCCAACGTAGACTTCCCGGATCCCCCGGTTCCGGTGACCGTGAGCACCGAGGCCACATGATGGGCATGCAGCAGCTTGAGCTTCAACTCCCTCAAATGAACATCCAAGCCAACAGTGAAAGCAGGAGGCTCAGGAGGCAAACACACGCCACTCAACTCACTCCTCCTTGGAGCAAAATTTCTAATATCCGCATGAACATCCTTAATCACCACCAGGGCCTCCAACACGTTCCTGTTTGTCTGACCCTGCATGTCATACTTAAAGAACCTATCAATGCACGCTTCCAACTCCTCAAGCTCCTCTTGGTAATTGGCCTTGTTGCAGCAATTCCACCACTGCACTTTGGAGCACGCCTTCACAAGCTTCGTCCCCTTCTTCATCTGTTCTATCAGCTTCTCCGTTTCCTCAGGTGGACGATCCAATCGCTTGTTCAGACCATCTATCTGCTTCGCCAATGGTTCTATTGATTTCAGCGTGCCCTCCAACCGTTCCAGCGTGGGTCTGAACTTCACTGCCCGCTCTTTCTTTTCCACTATGACATTCAGCAATTCATCAAGCACCTTGCCGGCAACAGCGTCTAGAACCATAGCCATGACTTCAGCACTGCCCAGAGAAACAAATTAACCCGAATCACAAACTTTGATCTAAAAGGAAAGTGTTAAAACAAATTTAAATGGGAAAATAACAAAAAGGACAGTGAAATGCAGAATACCAACAAAAAAATGCAATAAAAAGATTGTTTTTAAGACGCTGTCACGTTGGAGAATCCGATGCCTTTCCGGATATCTTTGTTCACAGCAATTAACCAGGGAATAGAGGAAACGATGGCTTGATGATTGCTTCTCTTAAAAATTCAGATTCTCTTGGGTTTGAATTTATACGATTTATTTATTTTCTTCTTTTGACGAGGTCTTTCACAGTCAGCACAGTTCCTTGGACCCCTTCCGTGTCCTTTCTAATATTATAGAATTTTCCTTTTTTGAAACAATTTTTTTGTTTACTTTGGTTTCGGGTTAGTGTGTTACCGTCAACGATAACCTCAACGATGAAGGATCACATTCACATGGGTTCACACGGAGAGACTAGTTAATATTTCAGACTTTGTCTAAATAATTGAGCCTTGTGCGCGTTAAACTATTAAGTAATCAGAGAACTTCTAATTAATATGCTCCTGAGAAATAATGGGTCGTCACACACATTAGTTTATAAACAAAAAAATATTACTTTTGTTTGACAGTTCATTCTCGCAATTCGATGCCATGGATTTAGTTGTAGGGTGAAAAGTCATAAGATTTGATGCCACTGGTTTCATTTTTTTCTTCAATTTTACTTTGGATGTCATTTTTATTGTGGCTATATAAAAGTATAGAAATGCGACTGAAAATGTTATTATCGATTATTAATTTGACTAATTTTGCGACCAAGATAATTGATCACTAACACGGAAAATTCAGTCACTGTATTTGTCACCACCTCGTGAATCTGCGACCAACTTGGTGACAAAGTACAATTAGTCACAAAAAATTGATGAATAATTTTATGATAAAACCAGATGTTAATTTGGTTGCTGATGTTTGAAAATTATGATATATAAAGCCACGTTAGCGACTGTGTTATTTGGTCACAAATTTGTTTAGTGATAAAATGAGTATCAAATAATTGATCCGATCATTCTATTTCAAGATATTTCAAATTTTCAATGAGCAAGACTTGTTCAAGAGCAATTTCTGTTCCTGTTTCTTTTTCAGATGATGATGCTGTCCATGCAGTTGCTCCATCTGCAAACAACAATTCATTAGAAGGAATGCCTCCTATGGAGGACTTATCTGAAACTGATCAGGATCATTTTGCAGCCTTATCTCAGTTTCATCTGTATGTACAACATGACTTGAGGATCCTGGCAGAGCATGGATATTTTACAGATGAGATTGCTTAAGAAGGCGTTTAACCCTTTGAGTCTGTTGTTTCCAAAAGCTAGAAAAAGATGAAACACTTAGCTTTGTTACTAGAACTTGCTCTAGTGTTGCCAAGTCTTCAAAATTCTCTTGATATGTTTTTTATTTTTTCCTTCTTTAATTTTTTCTTGCCTTCTTTTGTAATTTTTTTTTTGGGTGAGTTTTGGTTTGTTCCCCACCTTTTTATCTCTCTTTCTCTCTCTTTTTTATACATTATTTTTCTTGTGTTGTAGATGATTGATGTAAAATATGGTGTTAGCTAAACTAAGATCACACTACATTATGATATCTTTACACGTCGATCTTTTATTAAAAAAAGCAATTAACATAATAGAGTAAATATAGGAGAATCTAATAATGTAATTAGTAATTATTATAATAAAATAATTTAAACATTAACGGATTTTATAAAAGTAAAATAAAATTAGCTCATTCATATCTTTGATTTATCCTATACTCGAATGTAGTATAATATTTTTTAAAAAGGAAAAATCAAATATGTCGTTTTTTAATTAACTAATTATATTAATAATATTTTAATTTTCGTATAAAAAATTATGATATATAAATCTTGATTAATTTTTTAATTTAAAATATAAAAGAGAATAATATTAAATAAATAGATATAAATATAACAATCTGTTGAAAAAAAAAATACTGATTGCACTATAAATTCTTTTTAAAAAATTTAGAATCGCTCAAAATTGTTAAAATAAAAGGATTTTGAACCTGACGTGAATCGAACACGCAACCTTCTGATCTGGAGTCAGACGCGCTACCATTGCGCCACAGATCCATTTGTTGATGTTTAATATGACCATACAAATATATTTTATAATATTTTCGTAAAAAGTTATTATACCTCCATATCTGATAGAATGAAGATATATTTATAGAAAGATAATATGATAAAAATCAACGTAAGAATTTAATTAATTGTTACTTTTAACCTATCACCCTTTGACATCGGATACTAATGAAAATATAACCAAATGGAAGACAAGTCATGTTACCAACAACACATTTGACATATTAGTGAGAAATTGCAAGGTTGTCCTTTTTCCCTACTCTTTTCAATATCCTACCTTCTTTCATGATGGAAAATTAGATGAGATGATGTAACAAGTCTCACATCGGGGAGGTCTCCTCACCAAGAAGGCTTTATAAGGCGGGAGGTTCTCCAACCTCTTGAGCCGACTTTTGAGGGATGGTTCCCCTCCTTAGCCTTATACTCGTTCCAATGGTGCTTTCATTGAGGGCCAGCCAAATCGAGAAGGGCTACCCACGGAGGGTTCTGACCGGCAAGAAGGTCGAGTGAAGTACCGTGGAGTGCAGCTATCGAGGACGCTGGCTTTCGAAGGGGGTGGTAATGTAACAAGTCCTACATCGGGGAGGTCTCCTCACCAAGGAGGCTTTATAAGGCGGGAGGTTCTCCAACCTCTTGGGCCGGCTTTTGAGGGATGGTTCCCCTCCTTAGCCTTATATTCGTTACAGATGACTTTATTTAGGGGCGTTTAGATAAAATTAATGAAGTGTTTTTGAACAAATTCTTATTGCATGAAAATTTATATTATAAATTTGATTAGAATGTTTATTGGAATAAGTTTAAATAAATATTTTAACAAACCATATACTAAGAAACTTATTAAAATAAGCTAAAAGAATTTATAAAAGTAATAAAAATTTCCAGAAGTTTATATTATATGGATGACTTCAAATAAACTCTTCTAAGAGCCCTTCATCATGAAATTCAACTACTTTATGATAATCATAACAAGTCGAGATGTATGTTAGAGGAACACAAGCTTCAATCGAACACAAACAAAGTATAACGAAGGGAAGAACTCCTACCAAATCTGCAACTTCATCCCTAAATTTGGGAAAATTTTGTGTCTTTTATGTTTTGTTATTATGTTCCATGTTTTTAACATATCTTCCACCATTTACAATAGGGATGAACGAGAGAATAACTTGAAGTATTTGTGTGTGTGTGTGTTTTTTTTTTCCAGTTTAGTGCAGACTGATGGCTCAAGTTATACAATTATCATGATAATTAATTTTATTATAGGGCCAAAGGGAAGGGAGGAATTAAAAATCCTTTATTTGGTTAGAAATTTAGAACTTATAGCATGTGCGTGTTTGAACTTGAACTGTTTGGGTCTTTAGTTTCATTTCAACACACATTAGTGTGTTTCCCGGAAGGGGATAAAAGAAGCTTTTCAATATATTTTCTTCTTGAATTCTAAATTTTTATATTTACGATATTTAAAAAATTAATTGTGTCACTTTATGAATTAAAATTAGTCAATTAAAAACTAAAAGATTAAAATTCTACGATTACAAGTCTTAAAAAACTAAAATTATCTAATTAAAATTTAAAAGATTAAATTATACAACTATTTATTTAAAGGAAAAAATACATTTAAGTCCAAAATAAATAATTTGTCCTTTCCTTTTCCAAATTTGACCAAGCAAAGTGTGATCAATAATGAAGGCTATCAAAAAGCAGCCCACACATGAAAAGTGAATGACTTTTTTTATTCATCTTCCATCAACTTGATGATGTTACAAAGTTGCACCCAGTTACAATGAATCCAGGGATTGGAGGAAACCAAGTCTTTTTTTTTCTTTCTTTATCATTTATATTAACTTTCTAATTTCTATACGATTTTTATTTACTTGTTTAATTATTTTGTCTTTGCCATTTTCGCAGCAACCACTTGTCAATTATTTTTGTTCTTTATAGTAGCTCCAATAAGCAATCAACAATGATAGAGCTGTTCTTGTTTGTTTTTTTTTTTTTTTCATCATCAGCACACATCCGTTCTTAACCATAAATTTTAAATCTTTGTAACACCTATCTCCTATTTATGTATAAATTCTTTAGGGTTTTATATATAAGTTCTTTAGTCTATATATAAATCTTTAGGCCAGTAAAAAGACATTTTTGTCCCTTATTATTTTTGACACATGTTACTTTTGAGGTCTTTTAATTCTTTTGCAATTGCAAAAAATTTACACTTCTATTTCTAAAAAAAATACTGTTTTCTTCTGCCTTTCCAATAAAGAAAAATATCAGTTTGAAAAGATAGATATGTCACATAAATTAATATTTTTTATTTTACTTTTTTATTTCTTATTTTACTTTTTAACTTCTTAAATATAAAACTCGATGAATTATTATTTTTTATTTTACTTTCTTGTTTCTTAAAATATATAATTCTACTATTTTTATGATAATATTTTTATTTCTTAAATAATTTATGTTTATCTGTATTTTTTATTTTAAAATACTAATATAAGGTGTGAGAAGTTTTTTAATTCATTTTGATGAATATCGTAAAGTTTGTGTTAATGTGTTAAAAATATAAATTTTGAATTTACTGTGTAACTTTTGTAGATTTAATTATTTTCTCTCTCTCTTTTTAATTACATACAGACTAAGGAGGGTGTATTGGATTAGGATTTTAAAAGATTTTTTTAGTTAAAAAAAATCCTACGAATTTTAAAAGACTTTACAGGATTTTCATGACTTTTAAGATTTTTGCAGGATTCTGCAAGACTTAAAATCAGGATTTTAATGGATTCTGCAAGACTTTTAAATCAGGATTTTAATGGATTCTGTGGGATTTTGTGGATTTTGTAGAATTTTCATGGATTTTTGACATTTGATAAGATTTCAAAAAAATATTCATACATTCAAATTTAAAAAGAGTCAAAGACAAAAAAAAATTAAAAAAAAAATAATGTCTAGATAAATAATAATAATAATAATAATTTTCCATAATAGCCTATCATATTAAATAGCATTCACCCACATATCCATGACTATACTAGTCCTCCAAGCATTAGCATCTTCTCGCTCTTGCTCCTGGGTTTGAATAATAGGCTCAAAAGTGTGATCTTCATTAATTGGTAATGTTGAAGATGAAGGTTCATCCACCGCTTCAATTGGAAATTCATCAAGCCATTCCCACTCAGGGATC